AGGGCTGTTTTGTTTTGATTGATGGCATGGTTATGTCCACCGATTTCTTGCTACTTCTGTTCAGACTTTATGCATAGATTTTTGTTAATCATGTGTTGGCACTAGCTTGTAAGTTGCTGCATATATCATTCTGAATACAAATGTATGTTTGTCTTTATGAAGGAAACTGTTGAGATGATTCATTATAAGTGCTATTGAGCATAACATTGATCTATGATGATCAACATTGTCATGTTGGTGTTTATTTGCTATCAAAAACTCATTTTTAGTTATGTCTTGTTGTGGAAAAACATTACTGCGAAACTGATCATGTTTGCTTTTGAAAGACATTTTCTTGTGCTTATTGTCTAATTTTTTCTTAAAGGTTTGTCAACCTATATCTTCATCAGGATTTCAGTATGTTTGGGATCCATGTTTGATAAGTTTGTAAGCTGCTTGTTTTGTTTAAAATATGAGATGTATGCATTTGTTTTATGTTGCTGTTGAAGCCTTTGGTGAATATGTTGTTGCATTAGTCTGCTATCAATTTCTGTCTTGAGGTTTGTCAACTAAGATTTCAGTTGGCCTCATGTCTGGTTGTTGAACCCTTGATGTTGGATTTTAGAGCATGATGTTTAGGTCTGCTCAGTTCAATTTTTGGGCAGTCACCACTTGTTTTGAACATGTCTATGTTGATGCTTCAAGTATATGTGTCTTGTTTTGTGCTTTGCTAAGACTTGTGAGTCATGTTTGATCTTCTGCCATGAACCTTTTGTTAGCATCATAGGTCATTGTTTCATTTATTTATACACTGATTCAAGTCAAGTGCCATAACTTAGTAGCCCCTAGATTTTTAGGTCTTTTTATTAACAGTTTTGTCTTAAAGATTCATATGTGTTTGATCCAGTTGGTATGCAACTCTTGACATTCTGAATTTGTGTTGCTTGATGTTGTGGACATTTTGTTTTGGTTATGTTCAAATCATGTTCATTATTGCAACTCATGTGCCAAAATCATGTCCTAAGGTCTTTTGATTCATATTTTAGTTGGAGCTTGATCTATTGCATATTTGAAACTTGTGCACATCTTTCTCTAAACCTGATTGCATCTGTTTTAATCCATGAACCCCAAAATGAACTTCAAAGCTTCATTATGCATAAGCCATTGAATTTTTTTTTGCGTGTGTACTATTTGGGAAAATGGTTGATACCATCATGTTCCTCGTGAAAAAACAAGCATGTTTGACTTAAATTTCACTAAAATTGATTGATTTTTGACAAAGTTTGATTGAAATCGTTTTTGACATTTCACTGGAGTTTGCCTTGCATTTGCCCAACTATGCACTTTGTTAAGTATATCTTAACATGGGGTGGCTTGACACAACGGATGTATCGCCACCCCAGTGGTTAATGCCTCGCCCATAAGAACTTGTCATGCCATTGATCCTTGGTTCGACCCTCAGTGAGGACAATTTTTGGGCATTTTGTGATTTTTCATAGTTTTTACTATTTTTCTTCTTTTCCTCACTCCATGTTCACACGCATCAAGTGGCTGGGTTGGCTAAGTTTTGAGCCTGTGACCCCAAGGTCTTGGGTTCAAGCCTTGGGGGAGACATTTCTTTTTTTTTTAATATTGGATTTATTTGATTTCAAAAAATCATAACTCCTTCATTTTTAATCATTTTTTAGTGATTCTTTTTTCTAAATTCTTGTATTAGTAAATACTTTCATATAATGCTTAAATAATTTTAAAGTTTTATTTTAGAAACAATTTGTATTATGGGGAATTTGCGATCCGTTTTAGGGTTTTAACCCTCCTATCCTTCCTCTATCATTTCAAACTTTGATTTCTTTCCATTTGAATTTTTAACTTGAATGATATGAGATTGGCTTGTTAGCATCCTTGTGTACTTGAGTTTGACTTAAAACTCCTTACTTGTGAGCATTTGTGTTTAATCATCATTTAAACTTGAAAGTTTTCCCCCATTGAAGTTTTGAACTTCTCACTCATTTGTTGTGACATTGTTTGTTTAGGCTTGATGTTTGTAATTACACATGACATCTTGTAAGCCCTAGGAAACCTCATCTTTATCAAGATACATCTTTATCTTTGTTAAGATCCCATTTCCATATTTGTTAAGATGTACCCCCGTCTTTGTTAAGATATGCTTTGGTTTTTACCTTTTCCTCATTTTAAGTCTTGAAAGAACTTTCCCCTTCATGATATTGTAATATCTTGATGCTTGCTTATCTTTGGTTGTAACCATTTATCTTGATTGAAATCATTTCTTGATATTGTAATATCTTGATGTTTGCTTTGGTCGTAACCATTTACCTTGATTCAAATCATTGATATCGTAATATCTTGATGTTTGCTTTGGTCGTAACCATTTACCTTGATTGAAATCATTGATATCGTAATATCTTGATGTTTGCTTTGATCGTAATCATTTAACTTGATTGAAATTCTTGATATTGTAATATCTTGATGTTTTCTTTGGTTGTAACCATTTATCTTGATTGAAATCATTTCTTGATATTGTAATATCTTGATGTTTGCTTTCACTACAAGAAAAAAGGAGATTTACGACACTTGAGTTGCGACAGCTATCACAAAACCGTCCTTATTCCAAGATTGCGACGGTTGTCACGATAGTTAGGGTCAACTGTCGTAGATTTTTTGTGACAGTTATCAAAAAACTGTCCTTATTCCTGGACTACGACAGTTCTCACGACAGTTTGAGCCAACCGTCGCAAATGTTTTAGGCATGTTATATAAAATAATTGTTCAATGTCAAAAATTATTTTTTATTTATTTTCTTTAAGATAATTTTAGTACACATTATTTTTATTTAAGACATTTTTTTAAGATTTCATAGTTGTTGCAAATTATTTTGAAAAATATTTATAAAATTAAAATGATATTTTTAATCTGAATATCCTCCTCATTCACGTTTTTCCTTTTCCCATTCCTCATTCACGTATTCTCTTTTTCCAAATTTAAACCTCAATATACTTAATCTAATCTTTGTTCCTTGTCCTTTAGATTTCGATAAAAGCTTCATCAATATTTTCATTTCCATTGCGGCTTCTCTCCTTCCTCAATCCCTTTTCTCAATTGAAGCCAAACCCTAAAAGTTGTTGAACCACACTGTATCTTCTTTCCAGTTCAATCTGGGGGCTTCGATTCATGCTTTCATATTACAATCGGGTTTTGATTCTAATGTATTTGTTTGTAATGCATTTGTTACGCTGTATGGTAAATGTAATGCGCTTGTTCACGCGCGTAAGGTGTTTGATGAATTGTGTCATAGAGGGACTCGTGATTTGGTGTCGTGGAATTCGATTGTGTAAGCTTATTCGCATTGTTTTGTTCTGAAAGTTGCAGTTTCGCTTTTTTGTGAAATGACGGTGAGTTATGGGTTGATGCCGGATGCTGTTGGTGTTGTTAATATACTTCCTGTTTGTGGTTTTCTTGCTAACATATCCTTTGTTTTATGGCTTGCAGATGTTATGACAACATTTTTGCCTTGTGTAACATTTGGGCAGATATCAGAAGTAATGGATGTTGGGGAACTCAGTAAGGACCTCTATTTTATAGTTCTACAAAGGCGCTTATTTGCGAAAATTACTATAAAATGAGATTAATCTAATTGTTGATTGTAATCATGTAAGGTTGTCCTTTGGGATGCTTCATTCACCTGCTAATGATGTCGGCTTTGTGCACTCAATGGATTATGGGATCAAAGTACATAACAAAGTTAAGGAAAAAGTATGATTTAGAAGAAGCTCCTTATTCAGATGTAATTTCTCATATCTTTTGTCCATGTTGTTCTCTATGTCAAGAGTTCAGGGAGCTTACAATTAGAGGACTTGATCCTGCTCTTGGTAATTAGTTCACCTCAACTTTTTCATTTCTTACATCCTCTTATTATAATTAAAGATGTTCATGAAGTTGATTTTTCTTTTCTTTTTCTACAGGGTGGAACGGTATTCTTGCAACACAGAGAAGTGATCAAACATCGAGGAATCCTCCCTCAAACCAATCCATGTCTATGTGACCATTGTTCTTTCTAAATTAGTGAATATTGTATTTCTTTTGATTTCTTTTGGAGTTTATGTTTGATGCTTGTAATTGAATTTTAAGAAAGTAATGCTAGAAGTTGGAGATTTCACATCTTTCTGTCTCTGGTATACAATTCACACTTTGACCTTAATGACTTCCCTCAACTATCAAGTTACTCTAGTTCTGCTGGGGGGCCTCAAGGACAGTTGGGTGTGTAATGGAAAATTTTATTTTTCTTATTACATTATTCACCATCTACAATAAAGAATAATGTAATCTATACATTTCAGGCTCTTTACGAAAATAGGGTCTTAGTCCTATTGTACAACAAAACCAAGAGTTTAGCATTCAAAATGAAGACTTCCCAGCTTTACTAGGATACAAAGGTACTATTTATAATTTGACTGATCTTTGTTGCATATTTTGTTCAAAAACTTTTGTTGCTCAGCTGTGTTATTTTCTTGTTTTTGGGGTTATAGACTTTAGAGTGAAATTTATACTCTTCCTGGGGGTTATATGCTTTTTAGCTTCATAATGTTGTGCAGAATGCATAATGTTATTTTCTGAGATTTCTTTTTGTTTCTAAAATTAAAGGCTCAAGCAATGTTGATCGTGTTGCGAGTAGGGTTTCATTTGCGAAGAGAGTTCCTCTTGCAGAGGTTTCATTAAACAGACTCAATTCAACAGGGAATGGCGGCGAAGCATCTTTGATACAATTCACTGCAGTTCAATTGCAAGGACAGTGGTTGGGAAGGAGAGTCCGTGTCAATCGAATTTCGAAACTCCAAGGAAAATACCTGGAGAAGTTAAAAGTGAAACACTTTATTACAATTCTGGATGTGGCCTATTCGATGATGATTTTGATGACTCCATTTTGGAACAGATTGATGTCCTTTTATGTAGCCTTCTAGGATCTCTATTTTAGTGTAAAATGTTTGTTAAAGAATGTTGGAGAGATGAGAACTGAAACAAAATTGCTTCCTCAGTGTTGGGAACAAGTATATCCTAACTTTAATTTTTGGCTTACTCCTGGCCATCATAACTTGGAATCATTTTTTTAGATTTTCTGTGTAATGGATTTCAGATAAATCACATGTACGAGGAACGTAGACTGCTTGTTTCTCAATCATGTGGGGAGCTAGCAGAATTTGTACGCCTTGAGATTCGCGATTCTCTTATTTTATCAATTGTGCAACAACTAATAGAAGATTCTGCCACTATTGTTCGAGAGGCCACAACTCATAATTTGGCTAAGCTCCTTCCGCTTTTCCCAAACACGGATAAATATTTCAAGGTCAGCTTCATTATATATGCTTCGAGGCAATCATGGAGAAGATTTCTGACTTGAGATAATTGGCTGCAATGTAAGCTCAGAGGCAGGTTGACGGGATGGTGTATGGAATGGAGCTTTATACCCTTACCATAAAATTAAGACACTTTATTTTTCTTTAAAAAAAAGAATAAAGATAAAGAGTTTCTCCAATTCTTTGTTTTATTTTTTGTTAGGTTGAGGAGTTGATGTTCCAATTGATATGTGATCCCACAGGAGTGGTGGTGGAAACTACACTCAAAGAGATGGTTCCTATAGTTGTAAAGTGGGGAAACAAATTAGACCATGTTTTGGGGGTTTTACTCTCTCATATTTTCAGCTCTGCTCAGGTATTGGTTTTCCTTTATGCCTTCAATGTTCCTTTGTGACCCATAACTTCATCCTTGGCACTTATTTCTGAGTAAAATTTTGTTCCTGGAATTGCAGCACTGTCCACCGTTTTCTGTAGTTGAAGGGTGTATAGAGTCATATCTACATGTGTTGGGGGAAAGAGAGCGCTAGAATATATATGTTCTATTGACAATGCTGATAGATTTGCTTTCTTTCGTATACCAGAAAGCAATTGAAACATGCCCCTTCTTGTCCAGCATAGAAACTACACAATTTGTGCTATCTACTACATTGCTTGAATTATATGCAAGGTAAGTGTAATACCCCAAATTTTACCCTCATATTTAGTCGGTCATTTCGCATATCATATCATCTGCACATTTGCTAACTACTAACAAGACCTGAAGGTGTTTGTTTTGCAGGAAATACCCCAGGGGCGTTTTGGTCATTTTTGAAGCATAGTTCGTAATGTTGGGCGTAATGATGTTTTTTTGAGGCGTTTATTTACGTGGGTTTGATATCAAAGTCTGATCTGTGGAGCAGGGTTTAACAAGAAATCATTCTTCTTTCTTCCAGAGGGAAAACGGTGAAAACTTCGACTGATTAATGGAACTTATTCATGCAATGGTTGGATCGAATTAATTCCAGGATATTTGACTAGTGAGATTTAATCGGATGTTGAGGTGTTTGCAAATTAAAGCATGGAGAAGCAATTGGGAAATGATTTTAATAGAATATGTGAATTTTATTCATAATATTTTATTATCATTATTACAAGTTTGCAAAGTGAATCACAAAGAAGAAATGATTTGGATAAAAAATGTTATTTATTCATAATATTTTTTTTTTGTTACAAGTTACAAGGAATTACGTTAAAGTTCTAAGGAATTACATCAAAGTATCTATCCTAAATCCTAAGAACATCTAAGTGTCTTCATGCTGTCTTTAAGCTTCGCCGCAAATCTCGACTAACCTGCACATCAAAGCAAAACAAGCAATATAGAAAATGTTAGAGGTTTTGACACTCTCAGAACAGTGTCATCATCGAGTGCCGGGAGGGCACGACTAAAGCCGCATCCTACTCCCGTTACCAATCTGAGCCATTGGCGTCAGATCAGGTAGTTATTGTTCTTATCATAAGGGACTGTCGAGAGATGAAGAGTAAAAAGAAGTTTCGGGTCGAAATGGATTTTGCCGAAGGATTGCTTCGAAACCAGTACGTAATTGGAATCTATCAAGTAAATCCGGATGCCAACAGATTGCTAATTAGATCCATGGATAATCCACAACTGAATGTAGAAAATCCAAACCATACGGATGTCCCAGATCAGAGAGAGGACTTGTCTGCAAAAATCCAACAGATAATATTAGAATCAAAGTCCATATCAACATCAACAACCCCAATTTCATAACAGAGTTTAAAACAGTTCAGTTCAAGAAACAGCAAGAACCGAATTCAGCTCGCATTCATAAAACAAATGAGCTAACTGCACAAAGAAAACTGGATTACAGAACGAGACAGTGAAAGTTGTTTCGAATAAAATCGTGATGGGCCAAAGTCGACAATCAAAATATCAGAAAGACTATGGAGTCATCAAATCACACCTACAAGTGAGGTTGTAAGAATAAGCAGATAAGTTCCCATAATCACGGTGATGTGTTAGTTCAGTTGGGATCCCAGATGTGCAAAGCACATTGCACAAACAAGTCACAAGCTCGGTTCAACAAGAAAACCAAAGCATGAGCAGTTCATAAAAAAGAAGGGATGTTTAACAAAGTCAAGCTGTATCAGTTATGACAAATTCAATCCAACAGGCGAAGCTCAGCCACCACAGGAACAACGAAATCAAATCAGTTCGAATTGCAGGTCACAAAAAAAAACATGATGTAAGTCATAAGAATAAACCATAGCAGAAACCATAACTCTGAACCAAGTTCAAACAAGCAAAGAGCACAACAGAATGAGTCAAAAAAGATAGAGTCAAATGGCATCAGAAAGAGAATAAATCCATACCATAAGAAGCATATCAGTTCACCAGGATAATTCATGCCCTCAAATATCCAAAGCATGAAGGGCTCAGTCTGAACATCATCGCCCCAGCAAATAAGTCACCAAAACAAGTTATAAAATCATACTCAGTTCATGAAACGAACAAACAAACAAATACACGGCTCAGCTCAACATGATAGCCAATCATCACCACCAATTTAATCAGAAGTAGCAACATAAGCGAAAAACTAGGATTATAGCATCCTGTTCCAAATGGTTCAGACTCAGCGTCATCATTACCGCGTAACCTTCTCGGCGGCAAAGATCAAGGCAAAGTGTCCATCCTGAAAGAAGAAAAAGAAAAAGTAAGTACCAATGGTCAGGATTGAATCAAAACAAAATCGCATCAGGAATCAAATCAGTATCCAAATTCCCCAAAAGCAATCCAATTCACATCTGCAAGAGTCTAATCAAAAGATGATCAAATCAAATTGAATCTGGGAAAAATAGAAACAAATCAAAATGAAACCATCAAGAAATCCCGTGAATTAATATCAGATGCCAATCAATCCAATCTGAAGGCAAACCATATCAGAAAATAATAGAGATTTTGATGTCAATCCTGAAGCAGACCAAAACAAAATCAGTTCAGGTTATTAAATCGAACAGGGTCAGAAGAATCAGCTGGAAATCAGAGACCCATCAAATCCTAAAGGGGAAATAGGATCAGATGGAACCAAATCATATTGGAACTCATCAATCAACGAATCAGTATCAAATTCATACCAGAAAAATGAAATTTAATCTCACCGAAATACCAATCGAATCCTGAAAGAGGAATAGAGTATCCAATCGTAATCCAATCAGTATCTGAGAAAATCACAACAAAATCAAATAATATCAACACAAAATCGAATCTCAGAGTAACGCAAATCCAAGGCCCAGAAGTTAAGTTATAAAAGGGAGATCACGAGCGAAACCCTAAAAAAAGAGGAGACGGAGATCGCAAACGAACAAACCCTAGGCGCCGTGAACGAAAGCTGCGAACTCAGACGAAGAACATCGTCGTCATCGTTCAAACGCACCGTGTATCATCCATCATCGGTCACGAAAGATTCGAACGAGAGACCACCAACGCCGTTTAACCAGACGACGGGCAATCTCTCGTTTTTGTGCCTCAGCCCACGCCATCATCGGCCGATTTCGCGTTTAAATGTAAGCAACGGGACGTTTCATTATGAGTTTTGATGTTTTATTTCAGGAAATGAGAGACTCACGGCGCGAGGAAGAAGAAAGACGCGAGAGAGATGAAGAAGAAAAGGGAAACGGCGCGAGGACAAGTCTGGGTTTGGAAACCCTAAAAGACACTCCACCTCATGACTAACAAATGGGTTGGGTCCGGGTGTGATGACCGGCCCAACCCCCCTCCCTTTTTTATTTATTTTTTTATGCTGTTATTTTGTTTTTTTATTATAAAATCATTTTTAAAATATAGCATTTTAATTTTATAAATAAAAAAAAACAAACAAATCTTTTTTAAAAATATAAATATTAAGGATAAATAGAAAAATTTTATTTTTTTTTTATAAAAATAAAACCTTTTTTAAAAATTTCTTTGGTAGGCCAACATTAAATTTTTTTAAATAAAGCAATAGTAAAATCTCAATTTACATCTTCTCTGCCTACTAACGGGTGTTCACTTTTGCAGTTCATACTTATTACTATTGTGTTGAGTTTTCATTTAAGTTACCTTTATATCTGTATCTGTTTCTCAATTGTAACCTCGCGAACCTAATAATCGCGTTTACTTTTCGCATTTAAATTTCTGCATGATGTATGATTTAAATTTCTGCTGATGTATTGCAATATTTCTGTCACCTTACACCACTCCGAAGGAATTAGGTCTAGCCGTTTGACCGCCGTGTCAATAGTCCTCAACTTCAAACCCTTACAACTACAAACCCTAATTTTCACAAATGCCTCGCCGCAGGCAAGATTACAATTTTACCCCTAGCATTAGGTCAAAGAGCCGCCGCGCTCATTTTAGGGTTTCTCGCCGCGTAATCCCTAACCTAATTTAGCCCTAATTACAACTTAACAATTCAACGTAGAGATTTGGAGTTCCTACACTCCACGTAAGCGTGTCCTTAAGATGCGTTTATTCCCCTTGAGACCTTGACCACAGTCAAGAAGTCTCTAACCTCCCTTTTGAGGGGAACTACGATTACTCTGATTCCACTCCCGTAAGGATACGTAGGCACAAGATGCGATGTCTTGCCGAGTAAACTTAGAATTAACCCTTTAGGTTTATTTTCTCACTTTTAATCCTTATGTACATATACCTTAAGCAAATGAATAAAGCAAATAGTAAGCATTGAACAAAAGGTTCCTGTAGAGTACTACAGAAGTTTAGGGTGCTAATACCTTCCCTAAATTTAACCAACCCCCGAACCCTAGATCTTTCCCCGCATTGTGTTTACGATGCAAAATAGGTTTTCCCTCTTTTGACCTTTTCCTTCGGATAAATCAAAGAGCGGTTGTGAATTGAATTGCGATTCAAACTCATTAATAGTTTGTGATCCTATTTCCACCGCAACAGAAAATGGCGACTTCACTGGGGAATCCTAACTTTTGAGGGTTATCCCTAACTTGTTCATATTTATTACTATCTGTGTTATTATTCATTTGCATGTATATATTTGTGCTTTGATTGTGGGACTGTTCCTTGTGCTGTGAGATGAGTCCTACACCCGGATCTCGTGTACCTTAGGTAAATGGCAATAGACCAAGGAAACTGTACGACGTATATCGATACGGTTGATCTGGTGGCCATAGTTAGTACGACTTCTTGGTTGGTGCTTATATTCCTTAAGTCAAGTTGAGGATAATATTGAGGCTGCCATATGTTGTCAATGCACTAACTGACTTTTAGAACCCTAGTTAACTCATCTTAGCCTTTAGAAAGTAGTGAGGTAACCGGCTTTGGTGCAGACTGAAGTTGGTTGACACTCGATACTACGCTCATTGAGATCTTAAACTTGGAGGGTTTTGGTTGGCAAGTAAGTTGCCTTCTGAACAACCACCCTTGTGAAGGATCAATGATATTGAGATCCCTTAGAACCTGGTTACTTTTGTAGGACAGGATGAACCATCTAACTTCAGGGGAGGGTACTTGCCTTTG